GCCAAACATAAAGAAACGCTTTCCTGCGCAGGGATAAGCGCATTGGCGGCGAAAAGCAAGGCCCTGGTGCTGCTGGCGTCCTGCGCGACGGATGAAGCGGAGATAATGGCGAGATCGCTGCCCAGTCATGCCGTTGGGTTCATGTGTCCCCATGTGTCCCCATCTTGAATGGTTTTCATAACGATTGGTTTGATGACGAGCAGTCTACGAGCCGCAAGTTCATCGCGCGGTCCGGCCGGCGCGCGGAGTCGCTCGGCACATTCAAGTGGATCGCGGTTGGCTATAAGTGTTTCGTTCTCGATGGCGAGGCCAGGTCAGTCACCGATCTGACAACGGTTTTGCGCGTGGGGCCCCGTGGGTGGCAGTTTCCCGCGCGGCAAAGGAGGGGCGCTGCTTCCTGGAGGGCAGCATCAGTTGCACGGAAGATCGGGGCAAATCGGAACCAGAGATTCCGGGGGAGTTCCAGAGAAAAATAGAACGCCGATTCGCGGAGCGTAGCGCGCGCATTCGCAGAAGTTCCCAAAGAGTGTTCGAGGGCTTGAGGAGCGCAAGTAACACATGGGCGCTCAATTCAACCGTTGAGGGCGGGCAGAAAATCTGGTGTGCACGAGCATTGTGAGCGGGTGCGCGGCTTGCGCGGGGGGCACAGTAGGTTTGCGTTTCAGGGACTTGGGCGCTGGCCACTGCGCTGATGGGGGGCCCGAGAATGCGTCACACATATTACGCGTGTGGCGCCATGGAGGCCGCATTTGCGGTTGCAGTTGGGCGGGCGCCCCGCCGCGCGCACCGTGGCGACAGCTCTTTTGGGCGCCCGCCCGTCGCCGTGGACGCAGTGGACCCAGCTAGTCTCTCGGTCGGCGCGCGGCGGGTCGGCAGCCACGACGCTGTCGGCTTGAAAATGCTTCGAAAGTGTTTCTCCCCGAGCCCGGGGCTATTGTACGTTTTCGGTGGCACGCGCAGCTCGGAGAAACATCGCCTTGTCCGTCGGCGGCCCGTTGGCTGTCGTCGCGCAGGAGTACCGGCGGATGGCGCGGTCCACGCTCAGCGCAGAGAGCGTGTCCATGAGCGTGGGCTCGTCGAGGGGCAGGAGGAAGGACCTCGCGGTCGGGGCCATCGCGGCCCGCGATGTCCACGGTCCCCACCCTGGGCGCGCGAGGACCTGCTGGGCGCCGCCGCAGCGCGATTTCAGAGAATCTCGGAACCAGAAATCCGGGCGCGCCAAATTTCGCGGGCCGAAGAACTCTCAGAGAGTTTCGGCCAGCTCCGAGGTTATGGGTTCATGGGAATGTTTCACGCGGTGTGGCTAGTTCAGAGATTTTCAGAGATTCTCAGAGCAGTTCGGGCGCGAGAATTTGGCGCGCCCCGGTTTGTGGTTCTGCGAATCTCTGAAAAGCGATTCCTTCGGTTTTACCCGGTTTCCAGGCGCCCTATTGTCAGCCAGAGACGAGCGATTGGCTGGCGCCGCGCCCGATGCTTCCAGAGTTGCGAACTCGGTCTTCGATTCCCTGGGGCCCGCGGGCCCCCTAGGCCAATCGCGAGGTTGCCGAGGCCCCCAGGCGGTTGCGCGCGATTGTCTCGGAAACCGGAGTTGGGCATCCATGGTGGACGCCCGCGCGCACCCGCTAGGTGTCCGCGAGATTGTTCGGCGGCGGATCTTGCATGGCGCGGGGATTTTCCAAAGACTTTCCGGGGTGTTCTCTACGGTTATTTCGGCGCGCTTCGGGACATTTTCGTTTTTTTTTGTTGCGTTGGTTGCGTGATTGTTTTGGCGGCCCGCCTCCGTGGGGCCCCCTTGGGGCCTCAAGTTTGTTTTGTTGACGTCGGGCCATCTGGAGTGAAAGTCGCTTGGCGCTGAATTTCCACGGGCGTGCGCGTGGCCAAATGCGCGCCGTGGCTTCATCCGCGCCGGGGCGCATTTCTTCCCTCGCGAAGCCGATGGCGCTCAAGGCGTGGCAGGCCCGTTCGGCGGCGCCCCCAGTGATTTGAAAAACCGAGCATGATTTTTATCCCGGTCAAATTTTGCCCCGATCCTGGCTTCATCGCACAGCAGCCGCCACGCGCGTGCGAAGGTGGATCAACGCAGTGATGCGCGCGGCGTCGACGCATTCAGGCTAGGTTTGGCCGAGCGCCCCTCCGCCCTGACGCCGCTCGGCAAGCTCGAAGACGTCCAGGTCGTGGAAGTGCAAGTTGGCATGAGCTGGCGGAACTTGGCGCGCCTGCTCCTCGTGCGCGATGCAGAGCACGACAGATTGGCGCAGGGCGCCTGCATGGCGATCGTGGAGATGGCGGTGGACGCCAACGCGAGAGACCTGCTCAACGCGCTGGAGAGGTTCGGGCAGCCAGCTCCCAAGTGCGTGCGCGCGCTGGTAGGCGCGCAGTCATCAGCGGCGGTGCGCCGAGTGGTGAACGGGCCTTTCGTAGTTCAAGCCATGCGGGAGTACTGGGTGCCACATTTCAAGCGCCGCCCGCGCACCTAGCACGCGGCCGTGACAGTAGCGGCGGTTGTCCTGATGCACAGGCACATTTGCATGGGCACATCGGCCGCTTGAGCTGGGTCGGGCGCGCGCGCGCAGGACCGTCGGGGCTTGGCCGTTGTTTGTTTTGTTGTTTTACGTGGTCTCCTGAAGTCGCGACTATGAGTCGTTGTCAGAATCATTCATTCTCCCGCAGCATCTGTGATCCATGTCTCTCGTCCTGATGTGGTTTCTTTTTCCGTCGCCCCCCCTTCCAACCTGCCGCTCCGCGCAGTTCTTCAGCGCCATTCACGCTATGATGTTTCTGATCCCGAGCAATTTCGGTTCAAATTTCCAACCCTTCCTGGGAGGTCGGGGGCTCGCCGCGGCCGCTGGCTCGAAGGTGGCCGAGGGGCCGCGGGGCGAAGCGCGCCGGGCGCGCGCCTGCGCGTGCAGCAGCTGCCTGGTGGGCGCTTGCTGCGCCCCCCCCCCTCGCGTTCGCCTGCGGGCGGCAGCTGCCGGCCGCCGCGGCGCCCGCGCCGGGCGCGCGGCGCGCCGCGGCGGCGCCGGGCGGCGGGCGGGGGGGACACGAAGGCGAGGGCGATGGCGCAGGCTCGGCCGGGCGGCCCCGCGGCGCGCAGGCGTTCCCCGCCGAGAGAGCGGAGTCGCCGGCGAGCGGGGCGGCGCCGCCGACCGCGGGGGCGCCAGCGGCCCATTGCGGCGTCGGGGCGCCAGCGCCTCCAGGGCGTCTCTTGGTCGGGAAAACGAATCCGAGGCAATTGGGGGGCGCGGGCGGTGCAAGTAATTTGGGAAAACAGCACCGCGTTGACCGGGCGTCTGCGGCGTGGAATTGGGGCGGGAGGGAGGGGAACGCCGTGGGCTCTTGGTTCGCATTCGCGGCGCTCTGTTGCACAAGGCGCGCGCGGGTCGTTCGCCCGCCGCCGATCGCCGCGGTCTCGTGCGACGACGTCAGACATTGCCAGGGCGGAGCGTTTGATGGGCGAACCCGCCTCCGCGATGGAGCTCAAGGGAAGGCAGACAGCGTTTGGACAGCAACCCCGAGAAATCACAGCCAGGCGCAAATAATCAGCCGAGGGAGGGCGCGCCACAAAACGCTTCAAACGCCCAGTTGTCGCGGACAGCCCCGAAAGTCAAAGTGCGCATTAATTGGCCCCTTCAGTACTCCAGCGAAAACATCGCCTGCGTGTTCGCGGACGCTACCGCGACCAGCTTCGAGATCGATCTCGCGCCTCTGAGTTGATGATGCCCGCCCTGCGCGCCTTCGCCATTTCACGCGCGGAGCGACCCCTGGAGTCGCACCCGGCGCTGCGTGGCCGACCTAGCCCGCCTCGGCGTCGCAGGGCCGTGCCCTGGGGAAGTTGTGATTTCACTTGTTGTTGAGGTAAGCCGCCATGGGGCTTCTGCGAGCATGCCCCCGACAGGCGAGTCTGCGGACGAAACGCCCAGCATGGGCGAGTGCCAGTCCGGCGACGCGGCTTGGTTATTGAGGCAACCCTGCGACGTAATATTTCGTCAGCCGCCGATCCCCTTCTATGTCAGAGCGCGGATTGCGCGGTAGGCTGCGCTCTGCGCGGCGGCCTAACCCTGTTCGATCTGGCCCGAAGGACGTTGCCGTCTTCATCGTTGCGTTCTGTCGCGTTCGAAACGCAAGACGCACGTATTGTGGCCCCCGAAAACATGGCGCGCGCCAGAGCTTCGCGCGAGACGCCAGCGGCTGCTGCGGCGCCGTGCCGCCCGTGCAATCGGCCTGCCTCCGTCGCCCCATCCATGCGTTGATCAGGAGCTGGGGCCTGCTCGCGTCAGCGTTTTATCGCGGCGCCGTCTCGGCTCCTGGCTTTGCTGTTCGAGCGCGATCCCCAGCCAATTGATGTGTACTTGCGTCTGCGCGCGCTGGCACTCAGCCCACCGCCCTCGCACTCAGCTTCACCGCGTCCGTTTTGTGGCAAGACATCCTCGTCCTCAGGCTCATGAAGATCATGCGCTGTGATCGCATGGCTACAACGCCTCATGGCCCAGGATTCCAAGTGTATTTACACGCTCATGGAACAAATGGTCCCACGCCCAGGCATCGCAGTTGGACTCCAATCCGTTTTATTGCCATTCGGAATTTAGCAAAGTCTGCATATCGAGGGCCCGAAGTGGATGTCAAATGCAATTCCCATCGGACTTGCTCAGACCCAAACGCAGAAGAAGCAAGGTGTACTGCGAGTGCTCCAGTCGAGTTCCAGCTTGGCCGTGGCAGGCCCCAGATTCAGAGATCAGACAAAAGATTGTGGGCGTGCAACAAGGCCCGGGGGCGGACGTACGATTTCCACGGGCGGAACGGAAGAGGAACGGGCGGGGGGGGGTGGAGGAGAGGGGGAACGGGCGGGTGGGAAGGAGGAGGAGGAGGAGGAGGAGGAGGAGGAGGAGGAGGAGGGAGGAAAAGGAGGCGGAGGAGGAGGAGGAGGAGGCGGAGGAGGAGGAGGAGGAGGAGGAGGAGGAGGCCTCCCCGTGCACCCCCCTTGCCGCGCCCCTGTTGGGCAGGTCCGCGCGCTCGCCTGCAGCACCGGGGGGACCGTGCCGCCGTCGCCCCTGCTGGGCCCGGGGCCTCGGCTGCGCCATCTGCGATGGGGTCGCCAACGCCTCCTGGAGACGGTCGAGGAGGAGCAATGGCTCCCACGAGGGCGCGAAGTTATTCGCGTTTCGCAGTCCTCGTTCCTTTTCCCCTCCTCCTCGTCCTCCTTTTCTCCCTTTTGGGGGGCGGCGCGAGAGCGCGGAGTTATTCGCGCTTCGCGGAGCGCGAAACGCGAAGTTGGGAGCCCTTGAGGAGGAGGGCGGACAAACATTCGAAGAGGTTTGGCTTGTTTTTTGGGGCGCTGGTGGTGGCCATGGGGGCGTCAGAGCGGGCCGTTTCCTGATGGTGTCGGCGGCCCCATTGGCAGCATGTCTGGGGCCAGAGGAAATGGGTAAGGATGCCATTCCATCGTTTTCGCCTCCTTGGTTTCCTCCTGGGGCCCTCGTCGCCACTCCTGGTACGCGTCGGATTTCAGGTGTGGAACAAAGACGTGCGAACATGAGCTCGCATTGGTTTCGAGTGAGCGCGCTGTGCGAGCGTTCGTGACACGAGGGCGGCCTCGCACCGACACCGATCAGCAGTTCTATCAACAAGGCTTGGTGCTAGCCGAATGTTCTGCACTTTATCGGGGGTTTCTGTATATAGAAGAAGGGGCGTGCGCCTGTGGTCGGCGACGATGGTGGGACTAAAGGTGCGGCGATGGTGCGGCGGGTGGGGATCAGGAGGGTGAGGATCACGAGGGTGAGGGTCAGGAGGGTGAGGATCACGAGGGTGAGGGTCAGGCGAGCTTGGAGAAGTATGATGAGGATGTGGAGAGTGCGGATCAGGAGAGCAAGGATGAGGATAATCAAAATCAGGAGGATTAGGATCGGGCGGGCGAGGATCATTGGGGTCAGGATCAGGCGAGTGTGGAGCAGGAAAGTGGGAGTGAGCATAGTGAGGATAACGCAGCAGATTTTCACGAGTTTGAGGACGAGGAGAGTGCGGATAAAGAGAATGAGCATGAGGACGGTGAGGACCTTGATCATGAGGCAGGAGGGTGAGGATGATGAGAGCGAGAATCAGGAGAGTGAGAATCAAGAGGATGAGTGAGGATCAGGAGGGTGAGGATCTGGATGGGGATAAGTCCTGCGCATCTGGCGCATCCCCGGAAACGGCCCTTGTCTATCGGGGGCGGTTTGCGGGTCCATTTCTTCGCGCGCCAGGGGTCAGGATGATTTGAGTTCCAAAGGAATTCCCTCAAAGGAGCGATTTTGCGAGGATGTTTCGACCGAGGGCGCCGGATTGGGATTTGCCAGTTGCGCTCGGCACATCCCCGGAAGTGGTTGTTGCGATTGGGATTCGCGTGGCGCGCCCAGCACATCCTCAGAAATTGTCCCTGGATGAGGAGGATCCCTGGTGCGATTTTGCGAGGATGTCTCAAGCGAGAGCGCCAGAGTGGGATTCGCCCAGCGCGTCTGGCGCCTCCCCGGAAATGGTCCACGGGGGTCGGTTGGCGGGCCCATTTCCTCGCGCGCCCGGGATCAGGATGGCCTTATATTTGACCGACAAGTTGTATCCTCTAATTTAGGTTCGTGTCCTCGCTGTGTCAATCGAGATCTGGATCATCGTGCCGGCGAGGGTGGCAGCGCAGCACGATACGGTCAGATAGCGCGAACCCTCTGCTGAACGTCACAAACATGCGTACCTGCACTTCCGCCGCGTATTCACACCGCGCACGTTTCGTTCAGATCACGTGTGTTTGCCGCTTCGCGGGATGATTCGGAACGGCCCAGGTCCTCTTCTTCGCCCTTGCAGGGCTTCCCCCGGGGAGGCATGGCGTGGCCTCTTCGACCCTGCGGGCCGCCCAGGGAGGCGGCTGCACGCCCGAGGAAGGTGTGGTGTCCCCCAGGACCGCAGGGCGCGCAGCCCCCTAGCATCAAGTCGGGCCTGTCCCCCTACAGGGGGACGTTCGACGAAAAATAAAGAATACCCCACAAAATAGTAAAATCATAGTCCAAAAATAGTCTGGGGATTATTTTTTGAGTAGTGTTTGACCCTTTTGGGTTTTTTGGGGTATGTATTATTTTTCGTCCAAGATCCCCCTGTAGGGGGGACACGCCCGACTTAACCCTAGCATCATATCTGGAGGGGGTCCCCGAAGGCGGCCTCCCGAGAGCTCCCAGGAGCCTGCGAGCAGCCTCCCGCAGCTCCTCGGTGGGTCCCAAGAGCCCTCGCAGGGCTGCCTGGATCCCCGGAGAGCCTCCCTGGGCTTCCAAGGTATCCAACAGCTCCGACCTCAACAGGTGGCGCCCAGGGTCCCACATGATCATTCGGGGGATTAGATGAGCTTCCCCAGGGTGGGTGGGCAGCGCAATATCCTGCAACCCTTGGACCCCCCCCCCCCCCTGGAGGGGTCGCGCAGGCCATGTTCACCATTCCAAGGCCCCTCAAGTGCTGAAAAGGGGGCTCTAGCGCTGGGGTGCCGCGATCGGGTGTTTATCGAAGGCGAAAAACGTGCTGTCGAAGGTGATTATCATTCCTTGTACGTATTTGTGACAGGTGTGCCGCTGGCAGCGGCCAATGACCCCACCGTCTGCGTCCTGGCGGTCGTGCCGCCGACCAGAGGCGCCGTTGCACGCCAGCCAGAGCGGGGGATGCAGCAGAACCCCTCGACGACCCCGGGGGCGCAGCGCGCCATCTCTGAACACGCCCCGGAACAGGGACCCTGGTAAGTCGGCGGCGAGCAAGGAGTGGAAGCGAGAAGGAGGCAGCCGTCTCGGATGAGTTGGAAGGCCCTTGGCTTGCTGAGAATTGTTCTGAGACTTCCCCGAAGGCATGAAAAACCTTTTCAGAAGGCGCGAGGGCTTCTGAGAAGTCCCGTCGCCTTCTGAGAAGGCCTTCTCCTTCTCACTTCCCCCCCTTGCTCGCGGCCGAGTGAGACGATCGCCAGCATACCCGACGGGGTCGTTGTCGTCGTCGTCGTCGTCGTTGTTGTCGTTGTCGCCGTCGTCGTCGTCGTCGGGGTCGTGGGGGTCGTCGGGGTCGTCGTCGTCGGGGTCGTCGGTCGTCGTCGTCGTCGTCTTCGTCGTCGCCGTCGTCGTTGGGGATGTCGTCGTCATCGTCGTCGTCGTCGTTAGGGTTTTCGTCGTCGTCGTCGTGGCCGTCGTCGTGGTCGTCGTCGTGGTCGTCGTCGAGGGCGAGGGCGAGGGCGAGGTCGTCATCGTCGTCGACGCCGTCGCAGCCAAGACCGTCGTCGTCTTCGCCGCGGCCCCGAGAAGGCCCGCGGGGCCGCGCGGCGGCGCCGCGCGGCCCTGCGGGCCTTCCTCGCGGCCGCCGCCCGAGGCCCCGGCGCGCTCGCCGCCTGGCAGAACTGCGCGGCGCCCGCGCGGGGCGCCTGCGCAGACTCGGACGACGACTTCATGGCGGACCCGCCGCGGGCAGCCGCTCAGAGAAGGAAAGGCTGCTCTTAGCGCTGCCCTTCCCTCGCTTTCCCCCCTTGGGGCCTCCTGTGGGAGGCCCTCGTCGCCACCGCCGAGCTCCCCTCGAGATCCTTGTCGGAGCGCTACCCATAGCGCCACCCTTCCCTCGCTTCCCCCCTTGGGGCCTCCTGGGAGGCCCTCGTCGCCACCGCTGGACTCCCCTCGGAATCCTCGTCGGAGCGCACCCCGGGAGAGGTTTCCGGGGAGTGGCGGTATCGGTACCTGTTGGTCTTTTGGTTTCCCCAGTCGTCGTCGCCGCTTGTGTCGCCGCCGTCGCCTCCGGCGCCTCCGCCGCCGTCGTTGCCGCCGCCGCCGCCGCCTCCGCTGCCGTCGTTGCCGCCGTCTTTTGCGTCCGTCGCCGCTGTCGCCGTCGTCGCGGCCGCCGCCGCCGCCGCCTTCGTCTTCGTCGTCGCCGCCGCCCTCGGCATCATCCTCGTCCTCGTCGTCTCTCCTCCTTGAGATCTTCATCGTCGTCGTCTTCGTCGAGGGTGCGGGGGCGAGAGGGCGGAAAGGGGTCCACGGTCGCGCTGCCGGGGTCGAATTCGATCCGATCTATCCGATTCGATATTGATTTGTGCTGGCCCAATCCTATTCGATTCCGACGTTCCAGGGATCCGATGCGGCCCGATGCTCGCACGGTGCTGGTGTGCACTTTGGCGCGCCCGATCCGATTCGGTCCCGACCCGGTGCCGGTGCAGCCAGAGCGGACCAGTGGGGTTTCATCTGAGTGCCCGAGTCGATGTTGACAGACCTTGCGTTGGAGATGCCCCCCTGGGCCTTCCTCGAGGGCGCATGTCCTCTGACAGTTTGCTGATGTTGTGTATATATCTATACATACATGTGTATGTGTGTGTGAGTGCCAGGAGCTTGATTTTCTGAGGGCGTATGACATGCGGGGGGGCCCAGTTCATATCATCATTACGATGTTCGGGACGGTCGTGGCCCGGTGACATCACGTGTTCCGTCGCCTTTTCGTGGGGTGAGGAGGAGGATGTATGAGGAGGAAGGGGTTGGAAAAGGAGGGGAGGAGGTTTCAGGGGAAAGATGGAGAAGAGGCGATGCGCTGTCGCGGGGGATCAGGAGTTGAAGGAACGGAGGAGGAGGGGAGAGGGGGAGAGGATGATGAGGAGAAGCTGGAGGGGGAAGGGGAGGAGAGTGGAGGGGGGTAGTGAGAAACAGGAGGAGAAGAGGGACGAGGGAAACGATGAGGTGTGTGAAGGAGGGAGCGGTGAGGAGTGGAGGAGGAGGAGGAGGAGGAGGAGGAGGAGGAGGAGGAGCTGGGAGTAGGTGGAGGCGGACCACTGTCCTCGGGCCCCTAACGGGCCCAAACAAGGAGGGTGAGAAAGCCCCTTCCCCCACCTCCTCCCCACCCCTGGCGGGCCGCGCGGGTCCTCGCCCACTCGATGGCGGGCTGCCACGCGCCGCAGTCGCCGCGCGCGGGCGGTGGGAGCGGGGGGGGGGAGGTGGGAGCGGGGAGCGGTGGGCGGGGCGGTGGGAGCGGGGGGGGAGGGGCCTGCGGCGCGACCTGAGCCGACGAACTCACAGCCGTCGGCGACACTTTCTCGTCCGGTCCTGCTCCGCCATGGCTGACAGAACCGGCCTGGGAGGCCCCTCTCGTCTCGGAAAGCGGCCTCTCTGCAGTCTGGACAGATTCTCCGACCCCTCGGGGGTCGGTGCTGAACAGCGCTCCTTCGACGACCTCGGATCGATCGTCGTGCACCTGCCACAAGGCGTGCACACCGGGAGGAGCCACTTCGAGACACGATCTCAGAGAGTGGCTCTCATGACAGGCCATGGCAGCCCCTCTCGCAGACTCTGGGAGCCAGGGCGCACGCCTCAACTCCAAGACTGGACACAGCCTCACAAAGGGGAGATGCCACATTGACGAAAGGCAGCACCCGATACAGCCATCTCGCATGCTAGGCAGACCCACTTCGACCCGCACTGCAGCGGCTCGTGGGCCGGCGGCAAGATGAGCTGCGAGTGCCTGGACACACGGCGGCCTCTCCTTCTGTCGCCCAGCACGGGTCGAAGGCTCGGCCGCCGCTGCATCCGGGAGCGCTCGCCGCGCTCTCCTGCGAATGGTAGCCGCCAGACAGTCCATCATATCAGCGTCAGGCAAGCAGCCCACAACTCCTTTCTCCCCCGCCAGCTCCGAATCCCTCCCCGCCCACGAGTCTGCTGTGAGGTTGCCGCACGCAGTCAAGAGGTCTCCATCCGACGCTGACTTCTCAGGGGACTCGTCAGGATGGGAGAGCGCCCAGATGGTTTCAGTCTGCTCAGCCTGGGCCCTGGTTTTTGAGTTCAAAAACTAGTTTGTGAATTCAAGACGTCGTTTGGTGGCCGGTCGCAAACGTGAGTGGACCCTGGACTTATGTTGTTCCAACCTGCTAGCCTGGATCACCAGAAAGAATTTCGAACACCAGAAAAGTACCAAAACAACTCGAGGGTTTTCACGCGTCGGGCCCTGGGAGACACTCTTTCGACACTCCTTCGACACTTTTTCGACACTCGATGTTTTGTTTGGATGTGGTCCGTCAGTACGATGGGAGCAACATACCTCTGGACCTCAGACAACGCTAAAACGAGAGCAGGCATCTCCGCTCTCGGGACTGTCTGCCTGTCCCCAGGGAGTGGGGCACACAGGGTGGCCCCGAGCGTGGCACACACAGGGCGGCTCCGAGCGTAAGCTCGCCGTCTGAATTCACCGGGGCAGTGATGGCGGCTCCACATCTGCGACGGCGGGGGGGAGGAGGAGGAGGAGGAGGAGGAGGAGGAGGAGGAGGAGGAGGAGGATGAAGAGGAGGAAAATGAGGAGGAGGAGGAAAAGGAGGAGGAGGAGGAGGAAAAGGAGGAGGAGGAGGAGGAGGAAAAGGAGGAGAATGAGAATGAGAATGACCATGTGACAGAGTCAACCGTGTGCCTACCACGTGAAACACTGAGGCACCGACATACGTCACACATGCCCGCGAGTGCGCTTCTCTGCTGCACTTAAGCACTGGGGAACGAGGCCTCTGGAGATACGACTAAGGTACAGGCCTCTCGTGGGGGTGACCTTAGCAGTGCACCCCTTCCCTAACTCGCGCAACACAGACGATGCGTAACATCCGCACGACTTACAATACCAAAGCTTCAATACTGTGGAATATTGCATGGTATGACTCAGGTCTACCCCAAACCCCGCAATGTGCAGCTTTGCATTGGGGGGTTGATAAAGGAGAGACCCGTCATAATTCAAGGGCTGAAAACAATCGCTCTGAAGAAACTCGGTCGTGGTCGCTTTGGAGGCCGACGCGCCTCATCTGGTGCAACGCCTCCAAGATTCATCAAGACAGTGCGAAGACGAGAAGAGGGAGCAAGAAGCAGCAGAAGGGGGGCGGACCCGCTTCATGTGGGGCCCACGTTTTTCTTCAACGACCAAAGCTTCGGCAGCAAACGAATCGAGAGACGCCCGGAGCAGACGCATGCGCACAACAAAAGCACGGCGCTCGTGGAGCAAGACAGTCTGCCTTGCTGACGAGGGCAGGCGGGCTTGGCGAGCAGCCATACCAGCTACAACATCTGCAACGGCGTTTCCTGTTATGAGCCACCTCTGCGAACGATTAGTAACAACCACATCTTCACTCTGATGGGAATGGACAAAGAGGACAGTGATGAGGCTGGGATCGCGCCCCTGGAGCTCAAACAGCTTGCCCAGAGAGGCCAACAGATCCCCGTCCTCCCCTTGAGGGGAAAGCCACCGCCTACTATACCAACCTTTCACTACAGGCTCGCAGTCTGAAACGTAAGGCAGGGCCCCCTTAGTGGCCCAACAGGCGAGAACAAGGGCCCGAAGCTCGCCCCTGGGGACAGCCTGGCGGAGGCCAGCCAGGGGCCCACGAATGGTAACCCGAACGTCTACCTGGGGCTCGAGGGAGCCAAAAAGGACTATAGCAAGCCCTACCCTTCTGAGCTTAGGAGAGGCTGTGTCAGGACCCCCTGAGGCATCTCCGAAAATAATGCGTGGAGCCTCAGGGGTGCCAGTACCTAGGAATCCTACCTCGCATGCATCATTGGTGCCTGCGACTGTCCACTCCTCGGTGGCTGTGGGAGCTGGTACTTATGTCCATGTCTGCGGGAGCATCCCTCTCAGCCAGAACCCTGAGTCCATTTCAGCCTGCGCAACTGCTTGTGCCATCATTTCGTCCGACCGGAAATACGCATCATTGCCGACGTAGGTTGGGCATGTCCAGCCACGATGAAGCATTGTTTCAGGAGCACTTTTGCATCGTTGACAGAGCCGAGATCCCTGGAACTGCGGAATCTCCTCATACTTCCATTCGTGAGGCCACGACGCACCCACTGCAACCATTGTCATAACTGCTGCTAACCGATGTCCGTACTGAGGGGTCTCCTCCTTTGCTTGAGGAGAATTCGATATGATGCGCAATCCGCACCATTCTCCAGACCTGCACCGCAGTAGTGGACAGCTGCGCGCCGCCACTGTCGTAACGCTAGCACGTCCTTGAAATCCTTCAAAAATCAAGTGAAAATGTCAACAGCTGGCAAACCAGAGAACATAGCATCGTCAAACCTCCATTCGTCGCCTGCTGCAGGGTGAAGCTCGGGAATGGTCCACGATGTCGCTTCGCCAATCTGCCATCCAGACTCAATCAGATGTAGCATCACTGCCGTCATGGGACCTCGGACCTGCCTGGGCCGATGTTCCACTGGGGTGTTGATCAACTGGTTGGCTGCCTCCGTCCAAATCCGACGTACGCCTGCTCTAAGATCGGGGTGGTCTCCCCACATCAAGACGCATTGGCTGGGAAACTTGATGTCAGGGTCCTGCCCGGGCATACGCAGCGCGAGCAGCGTGGTGAGGCATCGGCCTCTCGTGGCGGCTCCACAAGCATATCCAGCACGTCGCCGAGCTTGCAGAAGCCTCTGTCCGAACGTCCCGT